GTAACTCATCTGTATTCCACAATTAATCCATGTGTAAATTAAAAGCTTCAGTGTAAAATAAAAGTGGTGTATGAATATTTAACACATTTAAAAATTAAATTTTTTATTAGAAAATTATATGTAATAATTCTTCACTTATTTTTTCATAATACTATCCAACTTCAATGAACAAAACCTTCGTTGCTTACAGCATATCTGATAGACATTCAGTTTCTGGCCAAGTATACAACAAAACAGCCTCAATTACCTGATTCATTCCTGTTTTTGTGATCTGCTTACTATATGCAATAAATATACTTTTCTGCCATAAATTCACAAGAAGAAATCAAGACATATAATGTCTGAAGAACAGGTAGGTCATGAGATTGGACCATTTCACCAAATCATTTGATGGATGAGTTCACCCAGCCCATTATATAACTTCAGCCTTAAAAGCAAGGTTGCCTCTATTGTCAAATTTTATACTATATTGTAAGAAATTTGGGTCATGACAAAAATTTTGATATCCAAAATAAACTTCTATGACAGCAAATTTAATTGGGGAAGAACCAATGAAAATGGATGGCAATAATACAAGGGGTGATTAAATGAAAAGGTACAAAACGATGTAAAAATGTAACAGTTAAATATTTGCATATTCTGCCATGGGATAACGTAGCGAGACATCTTGGGATGCGATTGGAATCTCTGACTGGGATCGGAACATGCGAGGGTACCCGCATGCGCTGGACAGAGCAAAGCTCTTATGAAAAGCGGCAGTCCGTATAAGGCCAGGATGGCATTCGCGATGCAAAATTTGATGACCGAGGAGCAGCGAGGTGTTATCCGATTTCTGACAGTGGAAGGTGAGAAACCGGCAGCTATTCGTTGCCGGATGATGACAGTTTACAGTGAGAAATGTGTCTCTGACAAGTCTGTCAGAAAATGGAGTGCCCGTTTTTGTGCAGGCCGTGAGAGTGTGGGTGATGACTCAAGACCAGGCCAGGCAAACACTGTCATCACGAGCGATCTCGACAAGGTGGACGACCTAGTGAGAAGTGATCGGCGTGTCGCATTGTGAATGATGAAGGTGGATATCAGCTGTGGAACCGTGTGGACAATTGTTCACGACAGGTAGCGATATCAGAACGTGTGTGCCACTTGGGTTCCGAAGCATCTCACCGACAAGCAAAAGGAACTGCATATGGGGCTAGCACTGCAACATTTGTTTTGGTATTAGGAAGACCCTGCTTTCATGGAGTGGATTGTCGCAGGTGATGAGACCTGGTGCCATTACTACGAGCCAGAGACAAAGCGGGACAGCATGCAGTGGAAGCATGCGTCGTCACCTCCCCCTAAAACATTCAAAGCCGTGCCGTCAGCAGGTAAGCTGTTGCTCACCGTCTTTTTCGACATTCAAACTCCGCTACTTGTGAAATTCCTGAAGCGCAGAAAAACCATTAACTCTGATGTGTACTGTGAGACACTTCGACTCCTATGCAGGTGCATCAAGAACAAAAGACCGGGGCTGCTCATGGAGGGTGTGGTTCTGCTCCATGATAACGCACGTCCACACGTCTCCAGAGTCGCACACATGGAACTGGCCAAGTTCAAGTGGGAGACTTTGGACCATCCGCCCTACAGTCGGACATGTTGCCCTGCGATTTCCATGTGTTTGGTCCACTGAAGAAAAACTTGAAAGGGAAACGATTCAACTCGGACGATGTAATCAAGGACGCTGTGAAGGACTGGGCCTCATCATGGCCACAGGAATTTGGGGAACAAGGAATCCTACGGCTTGTTCATCAGTGGGATCGTTGTGCTCAGGCCTATGGTGTATATTTTGAATAATGTCTACATTTGTACCCACCTTGTCGTTTCGTACCTTTTCATTTGATCACTCCTTGTAATTACGTATATAGCAATACCTAGAAATTTTGTATTATTTTTTAGTACATTTTATAAATATGCAAGTAGCTTGTATATCTTGTATATCTGAGAAGTGTACACTACTTTAATATTAGCTTTGGCACAAATTTTTATTTCCTTACACGAAGTATTGTAGTCACGAAAAATTTTGGGTATCATATTTCAATGAAAATGTCCATTTTGACCACTCTCGAATACATTTGAACAATGTTTTTGGTGGTCATCTATACTAACGAATAAAATAAAGGATATTTTTTACCAAAACTGATTACAAAATTGATTCAGAAGAGGTTTTTTTCGTGACACCTACCTGTACGCATGTGCATATCTCTCATAACTCAAAAACGAGTAGCCATAGAATGTTGAAATTTTGTATATAGGACTGCTATAACATTTAGTTGTGCTAATCCCTTTTTTTTGTTGCAATCGGCTGCACTAAGTATATATGTATATACCTACGTAAATCCACTCTGTTAGCTGGCTCGGTGACCTCAGTTTTTTTATTCTTATATGTTGGTAAATTGTGCATCTTTTAAAAGTGAATGAATTATGTTGTTCATATTTTTCAGTTAAGGTTTTTATGCTTTCTAATCTACATGCAACAGTTGTAGAATTATCAACAATTTAAAAGTTTTAAGTGGCTATGCTTAACGAAGTCATGTTTATACAGTAGCCTACCAGCGGCCGAGCAGTAAAGTCGCTAAACACTGAAGTTCGAATCCCATGAACGGGCTGGTTGCATGGGCGTTTTCGTGGTTTTCCCCATGTGTAACGTGTATACGAGCCAGTTTCCCTTAGAAAGTCCTCCATGAAGACATCCCTCCCCTTAAGCAGATAGCCCTTGTGTGCTTTGCCATAATTAAATACACACCGTTTATACAGTACAAAGTCTGTAATCCGGACGTACATTATCCGGAATGATCTATAATCCAGACCTCAAAGCCCCAACCTCCTTTTTTTACGCATGCGCGTTTATCGCAAAAAATGAAGCAACTTAAACAACTTACATTTAAAGAAATGTTTAGTAAAGTAAACAAATATTGAGCTTTTTTTTTTTTTTGCAAATTTTGATACCCTTTAGATCATAATTGCTCTTTGTATCATAAATTATGGTTTCATATTTTTAATTGTATAATTTCTGAATGCCGTCTTACCAGATTTAAATTGATGATGTATAATCTGGAAAACCTCTTAATCCAGAATCGCTGAAGTCCCGACGAGTCCGGATTATGGACTTTGTACTGTATTTGAAACTCTTAGTTGGATAGTGAATTGGTCAGTTGGGTCACTAACTTCAGTGTCTTTTTGCCCAGTGAGACCAAAAGTTTTAATTTTGTGCACCGAAAATTTTAATAAATGATGTTATTCTGCCCGCTGGCCAAATTGCTTGTTTTTGCACACAAACTAAATTTAATGGTAACTTTTTTTTAACTGTATTTGGTGTTTTAGGTTTTTCTCTATTTTACACTTTTTAATGAAAATTGAAGTTTTATGTATTTTTCCCTTGCAAGGAAGTGAGAACTGAACTGATTGAATTAGAAATATCTCTCTAATGTAATTCGAAGAAATGAGTTTAAATGAAGTGCAGCAAAAAATTTTTATAGTTTAATAGATTGTGTAAGGAAGTCATGTGGTGTTCATATCAGATTTTTTTTAATAATGTGATGAGTGAAAATAATACTAAAAGATTTATGGAAATATTTGCTGGACCAAAGCATTATTAACCCTTTGGGTGCATTTGAAGACTTAGACTTGTCATGCACTTGTTTTGCCTAAGTTATGGATAATTATTTTTAACCGCTTGCCTGATTATCCCGAGTAATCTCGGGTTCGTATATATTGCAGTTAATTATTATCCCGAGAAAACTCGGGCGAAGCAGAATTTGTTAGTACGATTTCTTTTATCACGGTTTTACTCAGTCTGGAGGAAATGAAAGGAAATATTCAGCTTTGATTGGCAGTTTGCCAAATTTTGTTGGTTGCGCGGTTTTTTTGGAGGGACTGGTCGCGTGTTTCCCTGTTGTATAGTATACGTTGGCTTGTGGATTAGTAATGTATAAAGAAGGATGCATGCGTTGGGAAAAAAATAAAATAATGTCAATGATGCAAGATAATGAAAGCGATGATTTTTTAGATAGTGATTATGAAGAGGTGGGGGGAAAAAAATCAAATCCAACGAGGCAGTGCACTCTGTGCTCCCGTGAGAAAGATTCCAGCGGTAAGCCAGTAAGAAAAGAAGACTAGGTACCAGTGTAGAACGTCAGGTATCACTCTGTGTTGTCCCTTGTTTCAAAAACAATCATACAAACATTAATATTTAACTATTTTCGTTTGCCCGAGATAACTCGGGATAGTAAACTAATATTAAAAATAAATGCTTTTACACCTTCAAAAAATTAAAAATTGAACTTAAAACCTACATATTTTGATTTGTTTCGCTTTGTTGTATTTAATAATAAAATAAAAATTTGATGATTTTTTGCAATTTTTTTTTTTTTAAATTTGTAAGGGAAGCGGTTAATCGTCATTCAAACTAGAACAAGATTAAACATGTACATTTTTGTTCATGGAAAAGTGATTGGTATCAGTTATAAAAGTAAGTTTCTTCCAGTACTTCAGTAAATGTTGTTTGCGAAAAGTCAACGGAAGAATTTTTTAAAAATAAATCCATATCCTAAGGATTAATTGCATAAATTCTGAAAAATCTTCCCTACTTGTTAAAAGCAATTAATTTTGTAACTCTATTAAAGGTCATCAAATAAATTTAATCTAATTTATGTGAATAGCAGTAATTAGCTAAAATTTTAATTAACAGATTGAATGAATTGACTTTTATGCCATTAAATAGAAAATGAACTAGTTACTTATTTATATTTAATCTTAAAAATTATGAACCTCGTGAATATAAAATAAGAGAAATTATTACGTTAGATAAAAAAAAAAAAAAAAAAAAAAAATTCACATAGCTGTAAGCTTATAAAATTATTGGAAAAATGTAGAAATATTTTGTAAAATTAAATTTCAGGAAAATCCAAGAGCAGTTTCTTAAAACCATGTTTATATCAAATATATGATCATTTCAAAAGACTTAATTACATTACTGAAAAATCACTTTATTGCTGAAGGTATTTTACATTTTACAAGGTAAATTAATTCGTGGTAAAGTTTCATTAAACACTTTTGGCTGACAATGTATATGCACACTAATGAAATTATATTTCATGCATGGGATTCAGGAAAGAAATATGCAATTTTTGGTTTTCTACTTTTACTAGTCTTTCCTTCTCAAATGTTTAATCATTTTGCTTTACAACAGTTTATAATTGGTCACCTTTTATTATTCACAAGATAGTATCATTTAGATGGAATTATCAAAATACTCATGGTTGGTTAAAAAAATTTGAGTATAGTAATTTATTACTGAGAACATCCTATGCACTACTTTTTTCTGAATACAAAAATAAATATATAATACAATAATAAACACTTCATTTACAATCTGATAACTTTCAGTACACATAGTACTTAATTTGCTACAGACTATGTGCTTACAGATAAAATTTTGATCTGTGTTAGTGATTTCAATACATCACGAGTACAAATTTTTATTATTAAATATATTTTTAATTTTAATCATTATCAAGCACAAAATAGAGACAACTGAATATGAATATTGTACTTTTGATATTTGATGAAAATATAAGCTAATTTCCATTTTTTGATGCATATTCTTCCTTTCTCTTAAAAATTATAAATTCTATACAAAATTTCTTATCATTCTTTCTTGTAATGTAACATATGATAAAATGCTTTATGAAAGTTCTTGCAGCTTGCCACTTCTCCTTTACAAACTTCCGTTTTTATATTCATTTTACGTGTTACATCTTCAGGTAGTCATTATGGCTGACGATCTCCTCTACCTAAATTAATAAGAAACACAAGAAAAATTTATAAAAATCTCTCTCTTCATATCGTACATTATTAGGTAGTGCAGCAGGAAACAAAGTTAAATTAAAAATTAGAATTTATAATTGATATAATATTCATGTCGGGTACATAAGATAATGACTCTGAACTACCAGCAATGTAGCTATGTTTTTCAGCACCCGGAGACAGCTAAAGATTTCATGCCCTCCTGTTTGCAGAAAAAGAATAGAAAGCATTTCATTCAAGAGAACATTCATTCAGCAAGAACACAAAACATTTAATTCTAAAATTTTGTAACATCAATTTGCCCCCTCCTCCCATGATGTTGTGACCTTCCAGCTACACCACTGTGAAGTATTAAAAGATTGTGTCAGCATGCCTGTGACACATACATGAACAAGAAAAACTATTGAACAAGTTGGCACTGCCCTTGCAACAGAAAAACAAGGAGAATTTCAGTGAAATATGAAATTTTTGTTTAGCAAAGGAGTGAAACCTTCACAGGTTCATCATCAGATAAGAATTTAGTATGATGATGTCTGTATGCATCGTACAGAAGTGTATGAATGGACTGAGCAGATGAAGGCCAACGTCATCAGTATAGAAGATTCTCACTGCCTAGGTTCAGCAGTCATGGAAGACAACATTGTAGTGAGGATAAATGTTATATGGAAATACTGATGCATCTCAGCAAAGAAGGTGGCATTACTACTTAATCAGCCTGTTAGATCATTCGTGGTAAGATTAAGTTTCACAAATAGTGTAATGTGATATGAGAGTGTGCTGCAACCCTCCTGGCCGATAATAATCGGCCTCATGGTTAATGCAGCACACCCAACAGAGAGTGTGTATGGGCCTGATACCAGAAATGAAATATGCAAAATCTTTGACAGCTTCTTCCATTAATGTGAAGCTTTTCTCTAGCATATTTCTCTGGACATAATACTGCATACACTGCTGAGCGTAGCAAGTTTTGGTATGATGATTTGTTGTGCTCCTATCAAAAAAGAGTATTCCTCACTATATGTACTCACTTTATCAAGCAGTGGCCTATGAGGTTACTGAACTAGAGAGGGACTATAGTTAGCAGTGATACTGTAACTATTTCAGTGTTTGCAGCAAATATCCTATAAACAAAAAATTCCTGTTTTTCATTGAAAGTAACAAGATAATGTTAACCGCAAAAAGAATGTCTAATACCTGCAATTTTATCACGATTACAAATTGTCAAAAAAATTTGGAAGATTTATATGATAGTATTACAAGTGAAACGGTCATGATGTGAAGTAAAGGATATTTCTTACTAAAAGTACTTTGATTTGAGGAATATGTAATGATATTTTATCATTTGGCCATAAAAATAAGTCTGATTTCAAGAGATTATATCATGAAAATCAGGTCTCACCTCAAACATGATTTATTTTTTTAGCTATGTAAATAATTTCTCCTCAAGGTCCACTTACCAAATTAAAGTTTTTATTTGAACTTCAAAAAAAATATTGGTTTTGAGGTTTCAGACTATGCATTTCATCCTTCTCAAAAAGTGAAATGGTAGTTTTATGATGATTTTGAGTGGAACCTGAATCGCAATTTAAAAATTCTTACGGTAAAATGTTCGCTTCAAAATGAAATTATGAAAAAAAATCTATACTTCAGTAATAACCAGCAGTTCAATTCCTTTAAAACAACAGTAATTTCAGTCAAATGCTAGAGTTATTTATAAAATGGCACTTCATTTAATGAAAGCATTAAAAATAAAATAATGCCCTAGCTTTATTGCAATGCCAAAAGAAGCAGAATTGCTGTGTTTAAACCATGGGTGTCTAAAGTGGGGCCCAAACGCAAATTCTGAATATATTTAAATTTACACATTTTTATTTAAAAAATAGTGTGTTTGAATTTTTGTTGTTTTCAAAAATTAAAAAATGTTGATTCAAAAATGTTTGAATTTGATTCATATATAATCAATTCATTGGCATTTATTTTAAAATAAAAATTTAAATAAAAACATCTTAGTATGTCATGATGTATTAACTGCAAAGTGGTATTCAACTGAAAGAAAAATTTGAAAATGTTTCTTTACTGGAGTTTTATAAAGATTACCTACAATAAATATTCTTTTTTTCACAATAAGAATATTTATCGTTATAAATATTAATACAATAAATATTCTTTTTTTCACAACAATCATGCTTTATTAATGTCTTCAGCTTTTGGCAGTACCTATATTTGTGAACAATTATTTTAAAAAATGAAGCATGCAAAAAACACATGGAAAAAGGACAAAGATCATTGAAAAACATCTTGAAAATGCATTGAGAATTGCAACCTCATCTATTAAACCTGATACCGATTTGCTTGTTCAACAAAAAAAAAAAAAAAAAAAAAAAAAAAAAAAAATCCATCTCATTAATTTGAATTTTTTTCCATCTTTATGAAATCCAAACTAAATGAAACGAAACTTTTCCAAATTAATAATAAATATGTACCTATGCATATCTAATTCATATTAAAAAACTAATAATAAAAAGTAAGTTAATTTATTTTAATAAAACAACAGAGAACTAATTTTTATTTCAATTTGTTAAAAATATTGTATGTGTAGGCCTGCAAATTTTTTTTCTTTGAAATGAGATTCTGAAATTTTTTTCCTTAGCAATACAGCCCTCAAATGGCCATAGTTTAGGCACCCATGGTTTAAACATTACAAAAATAGTCAAATATTAAAAGCAATCACTTATAAAGTTCTAAAAACGTACGAAAAGTAACAGACATGTTAAATTTAACCAAAATTTTGGAAAAGAGGTCAAGTCATGAAAATAATTAAATGGAAGTAAGAAACTTGAAATTTCTATCTGTCAAACTGCTCAAAAATTGAAAATATCAAAATCTGCTGTTCAATGGATTAAGAAAAATTTCAATTAAAATCTTATACTAAAAATATGGCTCTAAAATAACAAAAAGGTTTTGAAATTTGAGCATGGCATTGCATGCCTTAAAATTCATAAGCAACTATTTCCATCCAGAATAAGGAAAAAGTTCACCATAGAATAATGAATACTTTTTATGTATTATCATTAAATATTAATTTAATCTCCCTTTCAGAATAAAACCTACAGAAATATTCAGAAGAAAAGTAATGATAGTGTTACGAAATGTACAGGCGCGGTGAGATAGCTTCCCCGCAAAGCAGTTTTGGGCGATAAATCGTCCGTTTGGCGACAAAATTGGCGATATACCACGGATGGTGGGAGAACCTTCTGGAACGAATTCTTACAGGTTTAGCCCAGAATGTTCCCGAACACAAGCCAAAAGCTATATAAACCCTGCTGGTCTGCAGTCAGTCAGAGTGTGTGTGCCTCGTAGAGTGTCTCATCTAGTATAACGCTTTGTAGGTATAACGCTGATTTTTGTTGTTTGACTTCTGAATTAGTGTCTCATCTAGTTAGTCCGTGCAGAGACGATCGAGTTGACAGCCGGCCTGCGAGTGCCGAGTGGGTTGTCAAGTTCACCAAAGGAGTCTCTTAGCGTATTGCGGTTAGTGCATCGTCAACAGAGCGTGTTGAGCTTCAGGAACGACTAAACTGAAGAGTCGGGAGCCGTGCTCTGTGTGTCATCGAGTGCATCGCGAATTGTAGCGTGGAGAGTCTCGAGAGTACGTGAAGTTGCGAGAACGACCGAGCAGAGTTGGGAGCTGTACTCTGATGCTTTGCAGTGAAGCTGCTTCCACCATGATAGCCTGATAACCAAAAGACTGTGTCGCTGATCGTGTCAGCGTGTTTATTAGCAGCTTCACTGCAAAGCATCAGAGTGCTTCCACCGTGATAGCCTGATAACAGGAAGGCTGCGTCGCTGATTGTGTCAGCGTGTTTATAGTAGTTCATTGACAACTGTAAAACGTGTTTTGGAGCTGTCCTGACAATATTGGTAAATAAAGTGTGTTTCGATACTTCATCAAATGTCGTCGTTATTCACTCAAAATCCATATGAACTTTGTACGAACGTGAAGGAAGAAAATAACGCAACAACTGGTGTCAGAAGAATAAAGAAAAACGTAACAACTGGTGTCAGAAGTGGGAATAAGTGGGAAGTAAATGCCAGTGACCTGCCTGCAGAGAAAGCCATGGCATAAGAAATGAAGACTTTGATGGATCTTTTAGCCGAGATAAAAGCCAGTTGAAGAGAAAGCTGAAATGAAACACTGGCCGGATATAAAGATGCTGATAAAAGCTGGATAAAAGCCGGTGACTGAGATAAAAGCCGGATATGCTGAGATAAAAGCTGGACATAAAGAGATGACACCTGAGATCAATGGCGGACTGAAAGAGATGAAAGCCCGACTGGAAGATAAGCAAACCCAGCGGGAAGAAATAAATGTCGGCCAAGAAAAGGTGCGAGAGCAACTCCAACCACTGAAAGTGGAGCTTGCAGAAGAAACTGGAGCCATAAAAGAAGATGTGAAAATGACAGTAGTGGCATCTGAAGAATCAAAGAATGAAGAAAAGAAGGAAGAAATTAATGTAAAAACTGGTGTCAGAAGTGGGATTAAAAAAAAAAAAAAGTAACTCCGAAAGGTAGAAGAGAAGAAGATATTGGAGGCATAAAAGACGATCTAGAAAAGAAGGAAGTAGCTAATGAATTGTCTGAGAAAGGTCAAGAAATTAAGGATGAAACATCTAACGGAATTAAAGAAGAAGAAATAAAAGGCAGGAAAGAAGCTTTTGATTTTCAAGTGCCCGTTGCGGAAGAAAATGAAAATGCGACTGTCAAGTTCGTAGAAACTGATAGTGAAGTTATGAACTCACAGTTAGCGAGTATTGAACCATCTGAAAATGCATGTGATGCAGAGATGAGAGAAGTTGATGTGCAGCTTAAGCAGTGCGCTCGAGTACTGCAAGAAATTTCACCCACTTCGCAAACTGGGTATGCGTCTCATAGTGCAGATTTTGTAGACAAGGACTTGATTCTAAACCTGGATACTTCTGCTCATAAAGGATCGGAATCTATTCGCGACCCTGGTGCAAACATCGGAACTGGTTCCCAGGAAATGAAGGTGAATGGGCATGTACCAGTGGTTGAAAATACCGAGGTGAACTGTATACATGATGGAAATGAACTACAGAGTAATGAACAAACTGTTTCACATCTTCCTGTGGATGAAAAGTCTGAAAGGACTGAATCTTCATACTCTGATATGCAAAACAGAAATGCATCTGAGAACTGCAGTGGAAAAGTATTTGACCTGGGTATATTTTAATGAAAAGTCAGAGACTGAAATTAGACTTTAATTTGATTTTAGATTTAATTAGAGATTAGATTTTAAGATTTTAATAGAGACTTTAATTTGTACAATTTAAAATTGTTATGCATTTAAGTTGTGTATATAACTTGTACATACTGTAAATATCTGTTTCTTTAGTTATGTTATTTATTTATATATCTTGTTTGTTTCATTACATTTTGTTCGTATTGAATTAGGTTTCTGCCCAAGGGTTGTACAGCCCGGGACGTGCAGTCCTTGGGAAGGTGACAGTGTCACGAAATGTATAGGCGCAGTGAGATAGCTTCCCCGCAAAGCAGTTTTATGGTTGCCATAAAATAGCAAGGGAAGGCAGAGATGCCACATTTGGCGAGAAATTGTCCATTTGGCGACAAAATTGCCAATATACCATGGACAGTTGGAGAACCTTCTGGAATGAATTCTTACCGGTTTAGCCCAGAATGTTCCCAAACACAGGCCGAAAGCTATATAAACCCTGCTAGTCTGCAGTCAGAGTGTGTGTGTCTCGTAGAGTGTCTCATCTAGTTAGTCCATGCAGAGACGATCGAGTTAACAGCAGGCCAGCGAGTGCCGAGTGGGTCATCGGGTTCACCGAAGGAGTCTCTTAGCGTATTGCGTGGTTAGTGCATTGTCGAGAGAACATGTTGAGCTCCGGGAACGACTGAACCGAAAAGTCGGAAGCCATGCTCTATGTGTCATCGAGTGCGTCGAGAGTTGTAGCGTGGAGAGTCTCGAGAGTACCTGGAATTCTGAGAAAGACCGAGCAGAGTTGAGAGCTGTACTCTGGTGCTTTGCAATGAAGCTGTCTCCACGTGATAGCCTGATAACCGGAAGGCTGTGTCGCTGATCGTGTCAGCGTGTTTATAGTAGTTCATCGATGACTGTAGAAGTCAGAGACTGAAATTAGACTTTAATTTGAAATTAGATTTAATTAGAGATTAGATTTTAGATTTTAATTGAGACTTTAATTTGTATAATTTAAAATTGTTGCACATTTAAGTTGTGTATATAACTTGTACATAGTGTAAATATCTTTTTCTTTAGTTATGTTATTTATTTATATCTTATGTTTGTTTTGGAGCTGTCCTGACAATATTGGTAAATAAAGTGTGTTTCGATACTTCATCAAGTGTTGTTGTTATTCACTCAAAATCCATACGAACCCCGTACGAACGTGAAGGAAGAAAATAACACAACAACTGGTGTCAGAAGAATAAAGAAAAACATAACAATATGTTGTACCATAGGTTGAGAAAGCAAATGTTTCTTAACTCTCCTTTTTTTTTTTTTTTTTTTTTTTTTTTTTTTTTCAGGAATCTGTAATTGATTCCATTTATGTAAACCAGTGTATTAAAAATTATTCTTTTCATTAAGTAAGAACATGAAAATTAAGATATTTTCTTTCGGCTGCAATTATCAGCCACTATACAACAGATGTGAACTATTTCAACAATTGGAAAATTGACTTTGTGTCTTAAATCAAATAGTGCTCTAATTGTTATAGTGGTTAGTGATACTGACTGCCATATCATCTAACCTAAATTCAAACTGAAGAAAAGGCATGGATGTTTATAAGTGTATTGTGTCTATGCAGCATATGGTTACTTAAAATACTGACAAGCCAAAAGTCTTTTCAAGTAGTTTGGTAGTAGAAGAAGAGGTTAAGAGACCCTTGATTACATTCCCATAAGTATTCTTCATCAAAATTTGCACAGCTGTATAATTAGCATGGTGGAACCATACCTGTGCAATCAATGGTGAAATCCTGGTGTCCAGCCCACTTCTTTCTGCCCTGCCCTTAATGTAACTGAAGCTATAAATCGAAAGGTTTTGAGGCTTTATGAAAAGTAAATACTCCAATGAAGGGGAAAAAAAAAGATCTAAAACTTGAATAAGTTTGAGAGAAGTGACTTTCAGTCATTAAAGCGAATCCTTAAAGGAACAGATCAAGTGTGCACAAAATGAATCAGAGCAAATATTTGCAAAATAGCCCAAATAGGAATTTATGTAGCAATTTAAATGTGCACACACAAATTGTCAGAAGCTTTAAAAGAGTATAAACAAAAACATTCTCTGATGCAAATGTTAATTTTATGAGAATTATAAATTTTAATTAGAAAATCACAAATTTGTTCCCATTCTTATCCAGAACAGCTTTTACCTATAAATAATTTTTGAAGTAACAAAATTACTAAAAGAAATAATTATACACTTTAATACATTTGAGGTTAAATACATGAATAGATGGACGGAATACTAAAAACAAGGACTTCTTTTTTAAATATCTTCAAAGGAATTTGAGTGAATAATTAGAAAAATGGAAGTAAAATTCTTTTCAAAATTTCCATCTATATTTGATTTAATTGTGTCCAGATTTTGTTTTTTATTAGTCACTGTAAAAGCCTTAAACAAGAATTCTCTATACTATAGTCTGTTACCTTAAAATAGGCACCTCAAGGCCACTGCCACCCCCACCTCCATTTGCAATAGCAACTCATGTCACTGTCGTCATGCCATTGGGTCGTCACACAGTATTTATTTTCTCCACATTATTTAAGAATGCAGTTGAAATTAGCCTTTGTTTGCATGCTTTCCTTAAATCAAAACATGCTAAATGGAAATGAATTGGGGGGGGGGTGATTAAACAAGTCAACCTTTTCTGCAGCTGTTGTTCTCATGGTAATGAGTCAAATCAGGCAGCAGAAAATAACCATGAAATTCCTATTTTAAAAAACAGGCTTTTGTTTAAGTTGGCCCATTATGATGTCTCTACTTTTGATGCAAAGAAATAACTGTCTAGTTTTTTGTTTTTCTTTTCATAGCTTTACGTAAGTTTTCTGATCATGTATCTTCAGTAATCTCATAAAATCATCTTCAATTTTGCATTTAATCTATTTTCAAAATCCTTTACAAAGAAGCAAATTTAGATCATATTTTTCCAAGTCTCTCCCCCTCCCCATTATGAGTTATTTTACTATTCATACAAATTTTTAAATTAGCTTTCAGAGAAAATAATTTGCAGCCTTGAAATATGACCATAGGTATTTATACACAGAATCAAGCAATATATTATGAACAAAAATATCAGTTTGTGAAAAAGTTAACTTTTGTACATTTATCAAAGCACTTACTTTCACAAACACAAGTTGGACAATGTTCACCAGCTGGAATCAATATACGGCAAGTAGAATTTTCACATATAGGTGTTGGACAGCCATCTGGAACTATAAAATTGTTTCTATTTTATATACATGAAGTATTCATGCCAAGTATTACATTTATTAACTATCAGTTATACTAATTAGTCAATTAATTAATATACCTGTTATTAGTTAAAAATTATGAAAATATTTATAAAAATTATCTTAGTATAATATAAGCCACATGTATTAGATGTACTATAATTTACATTAATTACATATTTTGTTAAAAATTAAATAAAATATATTAATAAGAAGTACATGCATTGCTTTAAAATTTCTCAATCAAACCTTATGTGTCATGGAATGATAGTTTTTGCCAAGAAAGGTGGATAAATAATGTCTCTCTCAGTACAGTAATGTAATGAATGACACATGGAAAATTGAATGAGCCAGGAGCCTTAAGACCAGGAGTGCCTAGACTTCAGGTTAGTAAGTACCTTAAAATTCAAAAGTATTCAAAAACCATAAATGGATTTTCTCAATGCTACAACCAAATTTTTTTAATGATTTAAAAGTATAAAAATAATTTGCAAATAGAGAGAATCGTTTTAAGGTCACTAACAAGGATTTTGTATTTTTTTAATGAATGTAATTATTTATGTACATAAATATATATTAGTTATTGCCACTGCTCTGCACAACTTAATCGGCCATTTTAGTACTTCAAAAAATTAACATAATGTTGAAAAAAAAACTTGAATACTTTTAACATTAGAATTTAAAAAGTTAAGAAACTGTTAAAAAGCCTTTGGCTAAGAACACAGTTCATACATTCACATAATTAATCTCAATGAAAAAATATTTTTGAAAAGTAAAAATAAAACAATGATGTAGTTCATTAATTATTTTCAGATTTAGATGTCACCGGGAGAATTGGAATGGGTTAATCTGAAAATTAATCCCTCAACTATAAATTCTAAAAAACATTTTTGTCTTCCCTAATTAATCAGAAGTAACTGACTTCATTTAATTATGTGTACTTCTGAAAATTAAGGATTCCACCCCTACATTTGAAGAAACAAAAATATCTTCACTTTATAAAATTCACCTCAAATTTTGTCTTATAAATATATATATATATATATATATATATCTGTCTTTGCTGTTTCCTTACTACTATCCTAATAGCCAGTGCCTTTCTACAAATATCACAGAGTGTCACATAAATATATTTTTTTCTTTTTGCTTGCTACTTTATTAACATATGCTGCATATTTTGAAAGTGTTTTGAAATTATTTATAAAATGAAATTACCAATTTTTGATATCACAGATAGATATATCCCACTTTTGATTGATATATCTGAAAAATGTGATATACTGCAGTAAAAGCACAGTATCACTACTCAGATTAATTATATTAAAATTAATTAAATCTATTCCTCATTACAGTATGACTTGCACCGACTCACGAGTTGCAGTTTGACCATGCCTGTTCTAAACATTTCTATTGCAATTAAGATAAAAATTCATATGCTTATACTCAATATGCAATTTAGATACTGTTAAAATGGACTGATGATATTTCTATTCATGCATAAAATATCTGCATCCAGTATACAGCAAAAGTATTTCATTCTAAAAGTATATTAACAAAATACTCAAATGCTTACTTTTTGCATATTTAAGCTTTTAATTTTACCTGCATAACTCAAAAAGAGAAGAAATTTGCGATACCTTTCACTGAGCATTTATATGATAACTACAAAAGTTGATTATTAATGGAGAGCACAACTGTAAAAATGCATCAAATAGTTATACAAATTAAACATTAAAAAAACGGAATTTTTCTATGAATAATCATTATTATATAATGAGAATTTAACAACAGAATTAGCATATTAAATACCAGTAGCTATAAAAATTCTTAAGATGCACATTATAGCTAAATTTAACATTCATTGTATTTAATTTACATATTATTACAAATTTCTCCCACAAATTAAAATTTAATTTCCTAAAACAAGTACAGTGAACTTAATTCTTATTAACTAATTACCACAGATATGAAACTTTCATTTTTTCCCCACAGCACAGCCAATATTAGACAATAAATATTTTTAACTAATGTATGTATTAAGAAGGCTGTATGCATTAAGTAAAATAAACACTATGTCAATATGTGATCTTACACATATCAGATTACTTTTTACACATGTTAGATTACTTGTTATAGAGTCAGATTATAATAAGCACGATTTACACTGAAAATTGTTTGTTTAATGAAAAGTTACCTTTCTAACTAAACTGCACAAAAGACAAAACTACAACATTTACAAGTAGCTATGAACTGTAATTTTAACAAATGGTAAGTGGAAGCATTTATTTCAATAATAAAATGAGATTATATTACAATTTGTTAATTAAAAGGTAAACCAAGTTGCAAAAAATGGGCATGTTTAATTATTGTTGTATGAGAAAATATATAAATTAAACTCAACTTATTTGATCATCAGGATAATTGCCCACATTAGATTTTTTAATAATATGTAAGAAGCTAATAAGAGAGCACCAATAATAAAAAACATTTCACAGATTTGTAAAAAAATAAAAAATAAATAAGAGCCAAAATAAATAAATAATTAAAGTTTAGCATTTTGAAAAACTGCCCCCTCCCATTTTTTTCAAAATATTCCATCTTAAAAAGCATGCTGTATTACAACTCAAATAAAAGCAATTTCAAAGTGTACTGTAAATTGTAAACACAAAAGGGAAAAAAAAAAAAACTTTCAAGCATTAAGAAAGCAAACTTAGAAGGTCAATAGATTAAAACTTGCAATCTGCTTTTTAGTGTTTCCACAAAGTTGGTTAATCAACATCCTAAGATTTCTGCTCTTATTTCTGAAATTTGGTGTATTTAATGAATATTTTCTATTATTATAGAAATGATTACGATTTATCACAATTTTGAATAAATTGGTGTATGAAGTATAGAATAATTCTTTGAAATACAGATCAGCTATAATGCTCAAATCAGTAGCAGCAGATTGGATACTTTGACAAAAAGTATTTGTCAGTAACATCTTTCTTGTTATTGACCAGACACGTTCTGATATATGTATTTCCATATTTCTTCTTATACACATGAGAATTCCTTATAAAGTATGAATAATAATTGTTTCTGATACAGTTGATGCTTCATATAAGAGGCCATAGTGTTAAGGTTTAAATTCAAGAAATTTTCTGTTTTCAAACAAATATCCAAAATGGCATTTTGTGCTCCTTGAGTGTAATTTAAGATTTACTATTGTTTTACCTTCAAAAATAACATATATTGTCTTAACAAAACATACAATGCAGCACATGAGCCTTTACCCTTCTGAAAAGGGCTGTCATGTAAATAAAAGTTCATCTCTGCTAACGCTATTTATTGCACATTTCATATTATTAAACAATTTTTTTTTCACTGCAGAAGCAATGCTCATGCTCCCGCAGTTTGCTTCACAAAAATTCTTATGCAATAAATTCTTGTTTTGCTTCCAAACATTGTATTTAATACACCACATGACAATAACTATTTAATAACAATATCCTGCATATATTTTGAGAAAGCAACTGAATTAAAATTTACGTTTCCTTAATTTTGTTTAATTACAATATTTATTTTATATGTGCATGTGCCATTATTTTGCATAATTACATATTTTACACTGCATACATGATACAATATGAAATATATTTCATATGATCTATTTTGAAAATGCTACACAGCAATCGATTTACTATAAAAATGTTTATTTTTCCTACTCTATAAAAAAATCAATATCAAAAGCACACTACAAAGTTTGACAGAAATGTTGCAATATTCAACACAAAGAAAAGAAAAAAATATATCTGTAGAAGTCAGTTTCAGTAGTGATTAGTTAGTACCTCTCTTCCACAAAGAGAGCTCCAAAAGTATTTAAAATTAGGTAATGAAGTATTGCTAGATAGGATATTCATATCCTTATAGAAATGCTTCAGAAGATCTAGGAGAAGAAAAAGATTAAAACAATTGATCAAGTGACACACAAAAAGAATAAGGAAAGAAAATAGCCAATTTTGAATTTTTATTTATTTATTTTTAATATAATACCTAAAAGGAAGTGAAATTTCTAAATAAAAAACCTGAAGAAATTTTAAGAATTAATAAAAATATTTTGTTCCATTTCCATTTTATCTTACCTAATTCACTTGAAATTGGTTCAGTACTATGACCTAAAATGTTATCTGTATTTTCATTTTTTTTGCTTTTTTGGAAGCTTTGTAATTCAGCATCATATTCATCCTGATCTTCAGAAAATGGCTCACGTTCTAATTCAGTATCAGAATTAAGCTCTTGTTGTTGTTGTTGTTGATTTAAAACTGATTGGTCCTGTTCTTGCCTTACCATCCTTTGAAAATGACCTGAAGAATGATTATCTGAAAGTAAAGTTATTTATGTTAGTTACTCAAGTTAGCCATACTGTCATTCCAAAGTATTTTTAAATAAAACAGACTTAATAATAAATTAATTAAATTACATCCACAATACTGGAAAAACTGAAAGCTTCAGAAATGCTTTATAACATTTTCTTATTGAAAACTAAGTTCAAGATTAGATATGTTTCCAAAAACTGGAAGTCTTTTCAGCAACAGAAAATTAAACAGATCCTTTTCTTTATATTGTAGCAATATTGCCTTGAAAGCATTCAATAACATTAAATTACTGTTTTTGAGTTCAGTGATTCCACCTTCTGGAATATAAAAATTTTGCATGTTTGGTTTTAATAAACTAGAAAGAAAGATTGTAAAATATTGTGATACCCCATGCCTTCTAAGCTATTCTAGAGTTTTTGGAATAGATAGAAAAAAAATTTATGAAAATTTATCTTCTCTAATCTCACATGCCATTAGCAATTATACTAATACATTATTAAAATATAATTTAATGTTTTAAAATAGCAGAGAACTAACATTAAAAAATAACAAAAACTTTATATATGATATACTACATGTAAAATTATTAAGAACTCGCTCCTATATGTGTGGTTGCCATACGTCCCATACATAAGAAGTTACATTGTAATTCACTACTCAGTCTTGTATAACTATTGTCATGTTTTCTTCCTAAACTTTACCTGAGATAACTAGGGAGCAACAGCAATGCAACTTTTGAAAACCTTATTGATTGAATCCTTTAATAAAACTCTATTTTGGCAAAACTGGCATTCTGTTTGATCAGTTTATTTCTAAAAGTTTATTCCGAGAAAGCAATACCAATCAAAACTGTGTAGCATTTACAAAATTGAGTATGGATGAGAAATGGCCAAAGTGTTTTATAGATAAAAAGTATTTTCATCAGAACTTTATAGCTATGTGAATATGTATTTGCCATTCCAGTCCACAATGCACTTGGGGAGAGAATATTTTCTCTAATACAAACTCAATGGTTGAACGAAAGAAATAAGTTGTTAGGGGAAGCAGCTAAAGCAATTTTGATTTGTTATTATAATTTTAAAATGATTTGCACTCAGTTTTATAATTATATGAAAAAAGAAAAGGCTAGAATTAAGAAAGCAAAACAACTTACAATATGACTGGGCTGGCTTAGTTTTTCATCTTTTTTAATATTTTATCTGTTCATTCTATTGGTTTGCTTAAACTTTATCAACTTTTTATAAGAGTAAAATAAATCAATACCTGTCCACTTTTTTCATTTTTTTTAGTACCTAAACATCTTGCATAAGTGTTTGACAATTATAGAAACCCTACCTATAGGACAATTATACATTCTTTCAAATCCCTTTTGAAGGAAATTCATTATTCTTTTATGGTCAAATTGCTTTTCTAAAATACTGGGAACATTTTAAGTTATCTTACATTATAAAAATATATACCATAAATGTTTAATGAAGAATATAAATATTCATTAATGTATAGGTTGAGCTATGATAATTGAGATGATTCATTAGTATTACACCTAACATTATTACACACACACCTGCCATTGCGTTTTAATTCAATAAAATATAGCAAAACGGTCATATTCATTGCACTGGTTACAGATTATGAAGCAATCATACCACACTTCTTTTTTATCAATTCATTTTATATTTGTAAATAAAAAATTTAGTATATGACACTGCATATACAGTTTTCAGTATTCACACAGTATTCAAAGGTTTTTCAGTATGTACCGAGGAAGTTTATGCATTTTTAGAATGGTTTTAATAAAGAATTTTTAAAAACAGATGTTTTGAATAAAAATTTCTGGCAACAGCTATTATTTGAAATAAGATATATTGCTTGCTATTTTTAAATTTACTCTTCTTTCAAAGATGCTTCATTCAAAATGCTGCGTGTAAAAAATCTGTGGATTGAATTATATGTTTTTGCATTTTCTGAAGAGAAACACTTTTATTCCATAATCCATAATTGTTACAAAATGCATGGTATTAAAATTTTCAAGTGCAAAATAAGCAGCATTATTCATCAATATGGGGTAAACCATGAATCGTTATTCTACAAGGAAAGAAGACTCCAAATAAATACCTGAAAAAATACATATTGTGGTAAGTTATTAGTAATAAGAGAAAATCCGCCTAAGTAGAAATCAATTACAATATCTTTAAATACATCTGTAGCAACAATAAATAAAATAATAAACCAAGAATTACACCTTAAAAAGGCTAAGAAACATTAAGGGTTTTATGATTATTGAAGGATTTTGAAGGATTCTCGGACAATGAGAAATTAAAAATAAGAAGAGTGGAAAAAATAACTCAATGTACTACAAAGAGAAAGTTTTATGTCCAGTATTTACAGAGGAAATTCCATTTCATTATCCCAATGACTTTCCAAGAGTGAAACGCCATTAAGACAAAGCAACATGTCATACTTAAAAATATTACCACTTGAAAATATGAAGGCTGATACAGGTATTGTATATATACCTCTTCAACCTATTCATATAAAGTCCCCTGAGTTTTCATATATGGACTTTTGTGCCATTGGTTACTTGAAAGAAGCTCTTTCTAAGCACAAACCTATCACAATTGATGGACTCTGAAAAGTAGTGGAACAGGAATGCGAATCAATAGACCTAGAAATTTTATGAAAAGCTCTTCTATTGTATAAATCAGGATGCACATGCATAGTCTACAGAAAAAGGCTACCAAATTGGACATTTCAAAAAATTCTCTTTACATTTTAAACATTAGTTAAACAGCTCTGAAATTATTCTATAAATGTATGAACTCCCTCTTTAATATACATAAAGCACAAAAGATGCATATTAATCTTATTGGTGAAACATCTAGTGGCTCTGGGCATTAAGTTTCAAGTGATGCAAAAAAATTATCCGAGATTTTCAACTGCATAGTTGCGAACCCCTAACTGTTGTGTAATTCAAGGCGCAAATGTATATATAGTGAAATCTCCTGAGGTTAAATATCCACAATTGCAGAAAGTTTTGGCCTTCTGTGGTGGTGACTCCCTCACAAAGCATGACTACTGGTGATGTTCAATATCATTATTTAAATAATTTCAGAAATACTGGTCACTTCAGAGGAAGTAATCTTATTTTAAATAATTTGTACCTGCATTTGTGAATACATATATGCTTCTATTAAATTAATGAATTCCAGAGAAATGGAGAAAGTAACTTTATTCCATCCCCTCCCCCCCTTTCCGATGTGGGTAAACTTTTTATTCAGATACAACACTGCTATATACACAAGTTCCATTTTTTTAAACTCAGAAGATTCAATTAATCAGAATCATCATTCTCACTCTAGGTGATAACCACCACGGGTTTTAACCTATACTTGTTGCGGCCTAGGCCATTCGCTTGTAGATTTCAGTGGTGCATGAGCACCTCACCCGAAGGGGGAAAAAAAAAAGGTCGAGGCGGCGAAGCCATGAGGTCGAGCATTCTAATACTGCAATGTAAACATAAGAAAGTCCTCTCTTTAGTTACAAAAGTCCTCTCTGTAAACAGTTGAAAGTAATTGGTCAGGGCCAGTCACGTAAGAGGTCACCCTCCCAAGAACTGACCCTGTGAGAAGCTGCTTAAAATTATTAAGAACAATTATACTTACAGCAAAATAAACAGTCATTATTTTCTACCAATCAGAAAAAATGGAAAAGAAAGCACCAGCAATGGTTTTCAAAAAGTACTGACCATGAAAAATATCTTGAATTCCCTGGTATTGTGTTTCTCAGAAAAGTACGAGGCATTCATGCCATAAAATTTAGTTATTTTAAGTTCAGCATTTTAAATTCCCATTTAAAAGCAATTTTAAATTCATCATGAATGTAGAAGAATAAATTTTTAAAGCAGATTTTCAGTTCACTTTGCTTTTTAAGAAATAAGAAAAATCTTATTTAAAACTTTCTTACATTATCACTATATCAACATTTATATTTTTCTCTCCCCCCCCCCGAAAAAAACATTCAGACTTATCCAATTTCACAGATTATTATCATATATATTTGTTTATATAACATAAAATACAGAACTAGCAATATTAAAAGTTTAGGTGCATAATATTTGACTAATCATATTTTCACAATAAGATAAGCAATATTATTCAATTAGCAGATGAAAATCTGATAATTAATTCAACCAAATAGTTAGACAAATTATCAATTAAACTTACGTCATGAAAAACACAAATTCTGCTTTACACACACATATCTTTATAAAGACATGTCAATAAATAAATGAAAGAACTCAAGCCTTTAATTAAAATGTTTCTTTGTAAATTAGCAAAAAAGTCATTAATGAATGGCTCCTGAATATCAGCAGAAATATTAATCTGAAATGTTCATTTCATAGCAACAATAATTTAATTAAATGTTTTATTACCAGAATTTCCATAATTGGTAGCAATAATAATCTTTTTTATTACCAGAAATTTCGAAATCTTCGCGTATTTTCTCAAAGTCTTTCTCAGCAATTTGATTACTAAGTAATTCTTCCATATCTTGAAAGTTCGTCAAATTTTTGCTTTTAAGTTCTTCATCATTCTTTTCAATACCTTCCTTGTTGTCAACTTCAGGATATGTAGCATTTTCGCTATTAGAGGAATTTATATCCAGGAATGTTGTTGGTATAATCTGGGCTAAAAAATATGTTTAAAAAAATTAGTTAAGAAGTAAAATACTGCAAATTTATGAAATATTCTTAAAAAAATACAACATAAGTGAGGATTGTTACAATATCGAAACAAATAAATTATAATATTTTGGAAAGATTATTTAAAATTAAAAAATCAAATAGAATTTAACTATTTTTCTAAAATCTTCTACTTTTCCTGTATGTACGAGTATATACACCAGTTGATATTTCCAATATAATCAAAAATTAAACTAAACAAGCAGACATACACAATTGTTGATGCAATGAATATTTTTTTAATTAAAACATACAAATATGGTAGCATACTAAAAAAATGTCTTTGAAAATGTGGCATAAAGAGCTATAAAATTTAGCTAAAAATTAAATTTTATAATCAAATAAAAAACTTCGTTCAATTTACTAAACAAAGTTTCTTTCACGAATTAGTAAAAGAGCTTAAATAAAGGAAAAGAGTTTAATTAATAGACAGGAGAACTGTAAACATAGTTTCAAACGATGCAAAAAAATTATCCGAGATATAAATATTGAAAGATACCTGAGCAGATGCAAGTTGGACACTTATGACCCTCAGGAATTCCAATGTGGCAAGATTCATCAGCACATAATGGAGTTGGACAAACAACTTAAAGGAAAAGGTGTAACAAAAATAATTTAAAATATGGAAAAACTTCATAACATTTGAAAGATACTAAATGACTTCAGCATTAATTTAAATTCAACACATTATGCACAAATAACTATTATCTAGTGCATAGTTTGGTTAATAAATAAAAAGATTTATTGTAATTAATGAACAATTTTTAAATGAAAAGAATGAAGAATTATCTTTTGAGTTTCAACAGGAAATGAAATAGAATCTTCAATGTTTCCATGTTAACAGCTGGGTCATGGAAATAAACAAAAGCTTTTTTTAAGAAACCTATTTATAATATTCATATACCTTTAACATCTGATTATTAGAAAATAATGTTTCATTTTCACATCAACACCTTATAGTCTATTAGTACGTATGATGATTATCAATAGCTTCACTTTTTATATGTAAAGATCTGGTGCTGATTAGAGATGATTCATATATATATCATAGCTGTCAACCTTGAAATCTTAAAAGTCAGGAGAAACCATGAGGATTTCACACTATGCGGCGACATCATTTGAAAAGAACTCCAAACTGACTTTAATTCACATTATAATGAATGGTTCAGGTTAATGAACTATTTGTAATCCAATCCTGATATAAAGCATATTAGGATTTAATTGGCTATTCTAAATTTTAGATCTTTGGCTAATTTCATCTTCTAATTTTCTTACACATTTATACTGAGAAAATCCCAAATTAATGCATGTAATATTTGTGTAGAATACATTATTAATGTACCCTATATTGAAGTAAATGAAATTAAATTCAAATATTAGCAAATTAAATATTGCTTTCATCATCAAATAAAAATTTACAAGTGTCTACAGTAGATTGACAATTCAGATTAAATTAAATTTAATAATGGGGAAAATATGCAATTCAGATTAAACTAATTTTAATAAGAAAACATATTCTGAAAAATCTATAGGGGTGAGAGCATTGAATTTCCCTAATTTAAGTTTCCTTAATTCAATAAATTTCATTTATGGCTGGAAAACATTTTTCTTAATAAAAGCTAAAAACATAATCCAGGCGATATGATGAGAAACTGGATGAGTAAGCAGCTATGATATATGTGTACATCTGAATTAGAAATGATTTACATACTTTCAAAAACAAAATCTAAATGTTAAAACAGAATGAATATTGATAAGTATTAGATGCTTTAATGGAAGATAATAAAATACATAATTTATCACGCTAAAAAAGAAAATTCAGAAAACCGACTTATATTACTTGGTTTTCCAACTTAAATAATGTAGCAAAGAATAAGTAAATTACTTTTGGCTAGTAAGTTTAGTCAACAGACACAATATACTGATAGTTCAGTACAGATTCAGCCATCTCCGCAAACAGGCTTTTGTGAAAAAGATTCTTAAAGATAATTTAAATTCAATGAATGCATAATCTACTTCATTTCATTATTATATTTTAATGGATGAAGTAATAAATACAAGTATACCTTAAAAAGAGAAACAGATCATTTTAAACACTATTATGCAAATGAGAATCTTTTTATAACTTCAATGATAAATCAAGTTAAGTCAATAAAAGTTAAGATTTACTAATTCCGAGATTACTTTTGAATGACTAACACTTATAAGATTATAACACATCCTATGTACCATTAAATTTGATCATTTATTATAATGTCATTGTATCTTTTCCAATTTTTTCTGATTTCTGATCTGATGATACTTCAGTTTGTACAGATAAGTGAAATCAATATTTAATAACATAAATGTCTTCACTAGAGCTAAACACATATTTATGAATGCAATAATCTGTTTATATAGTAAGCCTTATTCTTGATCATTTCTAACATAGTCTGATATTCGATCACTTGATTCTTGCTCAAGTGTGATCCAGAAATACAGTCATAAGATCCTTTAAACCACATTACTTGCCACATCTTAAAATACTTCATTCCATTCAGCCTCGGATTGTCGTCACTGCTGCCTGCACGCTACTCTGCTCGTCACTCTCTGCAAGTATTATCTCTCAACGCCGCTTTTACTGCATTTTAATTGCTATCATCACTGTCTAAAATTGCCATTTACCTCAGGACTCTCTACAAAAAAAAAAAAAAAAAAAAAATTCTGCCATACCTCAACATTATGTTTATTATTGCTACTCTTCAACCCAAACTCCACAATCGCCACCATTCGGAAGCAGATCCAATTGCTAGACTGGGATAGGGTCTCTTATCCAGGCGCCCAAACATATGAACTTAGTTCATGCAGAGAAAATCATTTCTGAACCATTCTGAGTAGAGTACCCTCCAACACAATTCATCCCTTTTCTTCAGAGATAACATTAGCTTCTAAGATCTCCAGTGCACCAAAATTCCCTCCCCCCTATATTAATATTTGAGGTGAATTGGTTTATTATAATGCTGCCATAAACAAATTATTGATATTTTAAAATTTTATCAGTTACTAAAATCGTACTTTTTAGATTTACTTCATGTGTTAGCATAGATTCCGCTTTCTGTGTCTGGTAGCATGTTCTGTGTCTTTGGAACATTACTAGTATCAATAACGATACATATGTATACAATATAAGGCCCTAACCACAGTCGGAAATTTTCTAATAGTTAAAATTTCTATTCTTTACTTCATTATATTTCAGTTATATTAGTATCTTCAGAGAAATGTAAAAAAAAAAAAAGAAAAAAAAAGCACCTTTATTCCAAGAAAAATGCTATACCAGCTATGTTTGGAGATGATTTCAATCACAAATTTATAAAATTGTAGAAAATAACAACACAGTAATAAAACATAGACAAATCTGTAAATCAAATATAACTTAATAAAGAAATAATATTTTGAAGCAAAGAAATTCATAACTTTATGGATAGATTTCTCAAGTTCACTGTGTTGTTTTCAATGCTGGTGCACACCTTTTTCATTAGTTCCTGTAAAGAGACGACTGATCAGAATTAGACTTAAAAGTTCTTCGTGTTTAGAAGGGGCCAAAAAAAAAAAAAAAAAAAAAAAAAAAAAAAAAAATCGTGGCGTAAAATAATTCTGCATATTTTAGCAGATTTAACAGGTATTCCAAATTCAAGTATTTTCAAAGGTGTTGAAATAAATTTGTTTTAACTACCAGTTGCCAGTTTTAATTGTAAAATGTAAATCAAAGTATACTGATCTAAATTAATTTGATTTGGTACATCAATTGATTGATTGTAGTTTCTGGCACAAAACCTTACGAGGTTATGTGTGCCAAACAAAGGGTAAAAACAATGAATACAAAGTATGTTAAAAGTTTTATATGGACAAATACCATACATTTTAGATGAGGTAAAAACAGATTACAGTTCATAATAAAAGTTAGTAACCTTTAAAAACAGGAACAACTTGTGATGATGGCTTTTCCCTATTAAATTGTTTAAATCTAATTTTAAACATTTAAACCATTTTTGACGAAGATAATTAAAACTATGACTTTCTAATAAAATATGACAAACTGCCAGATTTTCATTACAGTTTGTGCAACGATGATTTTTCTCGCCTTTCGGCAAATATTTGTGAGTTAGTTGACAATGACCTCTTCTCAAGCGGGTCAAAATAACTTTTCCCTTCTATTTGCTGTAGACAACCTGCATTCAATTATGGGCTTAACATTTCTGAGCATGTTATTCATTTGATCATCTCAATGCCTCTGCCATTTATGAAAAATTTTATGTTTGATCATCGTGCTGATATCTGCGAGTGGAATCTGGGAATTAGGTATTGTAGTAGCAGTTTTAGCTGTAATGTCCGCTGGTCTTTGCTGACCTGTAAATGACTGATCCATAGTCAAGTTTTTAACAGATAAGGGATCTATATATAAGTAACATTGGGCTTGGATTGGCTCCCCATGAGGTATTGGACCAAGGTACACACTTTTAAAATATTCATAGTTTTAAAAAATTTCCTTCTTAGGGAGGTGATATGGGGAAGGAAAGTTAACGTATTGTCGAACAGCATTCCTAGGAATTTTGGCTCCTTTTTTACTGGAATCAGTACATCTTGTAAAATAAAGTTCGCAATCAGGATGAGGAATCTTCCTACGACAAAAATGCGCACACACAGTCCTCTGGGAAGAAAATCTAACACTGTTGTCTTTCAACCATTTAAGTATTCTGTTCAGGGAAGTTTGCAATTCTCTTTCTGCATATTTCATGCCTGCCTCCTGATAACAGATTTGCAGGTCATCAACGTAAAGTGTATCATGAAATGTAGGAGGGAGCTGTTTTAAGAGTGAGTCGATTTTTATGATAAATAGAATGACACTGCTTTGTGGAACTCCCTCTTCTTGATGTAATTCCTCAAAAAGTGTAGGGCCAATCTTCCTCTCCTATAGGCAAGATTTTCTGATCCTATAGGGAAGGTTTCCTCATAAGCCTTTATTGTCCAAGTCACAAAGGATACCGTACCTCCATGTAGTGTCATAAGGTTTCTCTATATTACAAAATATAGACATGAAGTGATTCCTTTTCATGAACGCTTTATGAAACCAGTTTCTAAAGTAGAATATTATCAATGGTTGCCCATCCTCTTCTAAATCCATTTTGGATATGGGAATATACAGTTATTTATCTCCAAACAGTGGACCATGTGAATGTTGACAATCTTTTTAAGCAATTTGCCAAGGCAGCTAGTTAAAGCAATAAGGTGGCAACTTGATGGATTCACAGAAGATTTTCCTGGTTTGAGGATTGAGATAATAAAGCTGTCCTCCATGCATTGGGGAATACTTGCTCTTTCCATATTCTGTTGAAAAGGAAGAGGATGGCTGCGAAAGACTTACAGGAGATGTTTTAACATTGTATAGTTGATGCTATCTAGACCAGGACATGATCTTCTTGTCTGCAACAAAGCTCTTTTCATCTCTAGCATTATTAGATCTTGATTATAAATTTCAGAGGTAGGAGAATTAAAATGAATCAAATTTTTTTCAATGAGCATCTTTGCAGAAAAGAAGGAAGGATAAGAGTTACTGCTATTTGGAACAGCTGAAAACGTTATTCAATTGACGTCGGCAATTCTTTCCCTGCTGGTAACTGTAGTACCATTTAACTTTAAGATGGAGAGAGTGTGATCTTTGTAAATGCCGAGAGCTTTTTGAACTCTTTCCCACACCTTCTTACTTGAAGTAGGGGAGTTTATCGAAGACACATATAAGATCCACGAAACGCACTTGATATGTTTTAGCTATTTTGAATATTATGAGATTTGATTCAATAGGATATCGCCGAAAAATGCTCCAGGCCTTCCTTTGTTTTCTGATGGCATCCTTGCACTCAGAATTCCACCAAGGCCTTGGTATTTTGGGAAATTTACAGACGTTTATGGGATAGAGATATCAGCTGCTTGTATGATTTTTTCTGTACAGCCTTCACAGCATGATCAATATCCATATCCTTCCCCATTTCTTCAGTGAAGCAGGCATGATATGAAAAAGAGTTCCAGTAAACTTTATCTAACAAAAACCATGATGTTCAACAGACAGAAAGACTATCACAAAAGTTATATAAGTTTTTATTTAAGATTTAAACATATGATCAAACTACTTTTCAACAAAGTTTATACCTCCAAGTGACATAGCTTTTTGGATTTGCTGTTGAAGAGCTGAATTTAAGCAATATTTATTAGCTAGATTTATATATTACTTATTTTAATGTTTCTATAATCATTTATTCATTAAAATCATAAGATTATTACAGAATATAATAAAACAAAATATTTTTTAAATTACAAATTAATGCATACAACGTAAAACAAATGTTGCATGGAAAAAAAAAAAATAGTCATGCCATTTAGAAGGTAAGGTAAAAATGGCTGAATAATACTTGGGATAGTTTTTTATTTTGACATGCAATTAGCTGCAACTTTAATTAGATTTTAACAGACTCAAATCTTTATTCAGAAAGATCAGCATTAGACCAAACTGCCTAACAATATTTGAAAAACTATGACTGAAAGTTAACTGAAGTTTATAGGCTGAATTTAACATCAAAATATTTCTGAGATTTCACAAATATGTTAATGGCCTGATTATATCTCCATTAACAAGCAAGACTGTTTTCAGTGGAAAATGGTATATATGAATCTATCATAGATAGAATTGAATGGACAGCATTTAAAAACAATATTTTTTATATAGTGTTGATTTCTCCATCAAAACATTCAATAACAATGTTATCCACCATGTTATTAAAAACCACTGAAATCTTTCCCACTACATAAAAGGACAACTTGCATATTACACCTGCTCCCATCAGATAAAAAACAAAAACAGTTACATTAATTTATTAATCATTTGCTTGAATCAGGAAATAATTTCATTTCACTCTACTATACTAACTAATTATTGCTCACATGAATTCATGTTAAGGTTTCCCGTAATTTCTTAAAGGCTACATTCAAAATACCCTGGAACTATCTGACACACACACACAAAACACACACACACATACACACACACACAAACAAAAAAAAAAAAAAAAAAAAAAAACTTTTTTTAAATGATGTAACTTGCATTTTTTTATTATTATTTATTTATTTATTTATTTATTTTTATTTATTATTTTTTTTAATTTTATTTTGTCAGAAATTAATAATGCACAGTATGCATTTATATACATGAATTAAGTTAAAAGCTTAAATCTGATACTGGCAAAGCTAATAAATCTGTGGAGTAAAATAAAAAATAGTTAACATATATTAATACAGCCCTTTACTAATTATACAACTTTTAAAGCTGCAAACAGCTGCTCAATAACAAATTGTCAGCATGTAAATATTAGTTGTATAACAAAGTGTAAAAAATTATAAGCATCAGTTATAACTCTTCATGAATAAGTCATAAAACAATCAATAAAATTTCAGTTATTCTTCATTTGCCACTTACTTTCAGTTACAACGTCATCCCAGTCATAATTAGCATCATTATCTCCAATCAGACATTCATAATATGGACAGCACTGGCCTGTAGTCTTTGAAGCATAACAATTTTTAGCATTTGGAGGAGGAGGACATGACTGATGAATACATGTAAAATCAGGAGGAACTAGACATTTGCATTTTATACATGGATTACTCACTGCAAATTCAGCATTAATCTTATAGAATTTTCCAGAAAAAATGCAATGATCACCTTCACAAAAGAGAAAAATATGAAAATGTAATCTATAAATAGCAACAAATGATATAAAATACACATGACACATATTGTTTGACTATAAATTGTAAAGAAAAAACATTATTTATGCTGCATTATGATATTTTTTTTTTTTTTTTTTCAAGTTCAAATTTTAAAAGAAAATTCAGATATTCTGGGTAACTTTTCAAATATAAATTAAATTCATTCTTCATATACTGATAGTGTAGAAACTAGTGGTTAAAACCCTAAGTTCCAATACTTCTTAATTAAGAAATTGTAGTTAAAAGATATTTAAAGTGCAAAGTTATTTTAGCATTTATATAAGGTTTTCATATTCAAGTTAATAACTGAATGTATGGTATGTTCTTCATAGAATGAAAAAGAACACAAAAGGAACAGATCAGATTCATCAGAATCCTCTCTTTTACTATATTACCTCACATCATTAAATACAATATTGAGTTCATTAGTGAATGAATAGTTTTCTCATTTCCCTGAGAATTTTGAATGGATAAGAAACGAAGAAATATGGCTGCAGAAAATGGAAGATGTAGAAATTGGTAATAATTATTTTTTTTAAGCATCAGGGCTGCTCTCAATCCTCGCCTTTTTTTGACTGAATCACTTTTCAAATAAAAGGGTTGCACCAAATATTATCACCATGCATTACTTTGAAGAAATACTACAGCAAATATAAAATAAAATGTATGACAATACTTAAGATTCTATTGAGAATTCTAAAGGTATGGCACTTTTAAATACTTGGTGATTTTGCTGTTGAATTTTATGTGGCACAAGTGCAAAGAAAGCGATGTTTAATAAATAATGTTAACAATAAAAAGACAAAAGAAAGCATGGGCGTAGCCAGCTCAAATTGCAGGAGGGTGCCCATTACAACACCTATGGCTATACTGTTCTACCTATTACAGCATCTTCACGTATATAGGAATTATTACGTGATGAATGTATTATGTTAATGGCAGTTATCTTAATATAAAGAATAATTATACTATGAATTTTATTAATAATAAAATTATGTAACATAATTACGGATATATGCAGTTAATCATAGTATTTATAATTATTACCTTACATATTAAATGCGTAACTCAAAATTTTTGTTTTTTAAATTAATTAAAAATTATTATTAAAATATGAATTTTGAAATTCATCTTACTTTGGTTTCATAATACAACTATAAAGATAAATAAAATTATAAAATCCATATTTCTCTTGTACATAATAAAGATATTGATTTAAATACATAAAAGTTGTAAATGCATCGTTTATTTTGGACATGAAATTAAATTGGAAATTAAAAGTAGTTAAATTAATTAAAAATAGTTTGTCAGAAAGGACAAACATTTTTCTGGACTTTCATTTTGTTTCGGCATTTAAAATATTCCCGAATTCCATTTATTGTGGCTGTAAACTGGCAAATATATCAATAACTTTGTCAATTGATATTTATTTGGTATAATTAATATCAATTGACAAAGTTATTGATATAATTAATGTTCATTAATGCCAAAGAATTTTTGCGCTCTTCCATCATAGTAGCTCTATTATAATTTTCTAACCTTTTCAAAGCATTTGTGGAATGTTCACATTTGCAAGATATTATTGGCAGTGTAACTGCTATGTGCAAGAGCACATCAATATTTGGTATAAAAATTTCATTCGAAGCTTTTAATGTCAAAACTGGTGTGTCTTGGAGCTTTTCTTTGGGAACAGACATAAAATGTTGTTGCTAAAGGTTCGTCTCTTCATTTAGAAGTTCCTAGGAGGGTAAATCATCTTTATATATCACCTTCAACTCATTTTACAGCAATTTCATTCATACGAACAGGCTGGTTGTATGCAAAACAGGGATACAGTCTTTTCTAAACTTGAAAATTGAGATTTTAAATGGAAAATGAGACGGTCAAGTATGGGATTGGTAAAATAGTTTTATAATAATTAAACACTGAATCAAAATGAGCATTATATCAATAGATTTGCTTTCAAAGGATGCATGGCAGTTTAAACTCTACATCTAATATTTTACACATTTTCCCGTCATGATCAAATATACTCTCAAAACTCTTTCCTACATTTTCACTATCAGAAATAAAAAAACACAATTATTTCCTAAATCATGCTATAGGCTTCCACCATATCAACAGATCGTCCTCGAAATTTAACTCTCATTCCTTCTAAATGACATAAATAATGATATGCTGTTATCAATATTACGATGAAAGTTGTCACAGCACAGAGTTGCCGTTTCAACTGAGACGTAGACAATTTCCTGTAAAACTTGCCTTTGCTATGATCATCAATAAGTCTCAGGGCCAAACGCTTAAGCGTATTGGCATTTTTTTACCTCAGCCTGCATTTGGGCACGTCAACTTTATGTTGCCTGTTCAAGAGTTCGTGAAAGAACGGACGTAAAATTAAAAATAATTGATGGTCCTCTGCAAGGCGAGCTTAAAAATGATGGAAAGATCTACACAAGAATGTTGTGTACATGCAAGATCTTTGACATGTGAATTAACATTTTATTATTTAAATCACCTTTATTTATTGAGCTAGCGATGGCTCTTAAGAAATGTACCACTGGTGGTTTCCTTCATTGCACTCTACTTTAAGCAATTAAGCAAGTAGAAGGGGGAAACCCCGTGGGCAGTAAGCAAAGAGGCGTCCTCGCCACCTGCCCTGGGTCATTCAGTTTTAATCAGCAGACACCTTTGCACAAATCATTTTAATTACAATTTATAATATCTAGAACAGCGGCCATGTTGTATGACCACCGTCGATGATGTATATGATCTTACAATTCATCATTACAATTAGTATTTCATATATACTAGCTACTGTTTGTTTAAATCAGTATGGAAAAGCATATGAAGGTTATCTGTCTATGGGAAGGGATGCCATCCCATTTGTGAAGAACTTTCTAAGGGAAACTGGATTGTATTTACCTTATGTAAAAGCTAGCACTGTTCAACAATCTTCTAGATTTTGCCCACTACTGAGCTATGTACTTTTTTCAGTCTATTTAAATTTTCTTGTTTTATACTTCCTTTTAATCGGTAATTATCTGATTATTTGTTCCAAACACAAATGCACACAAAATAAATAACTGAATCTGAGAGCTTTCTGATTTTACACTATGCCCAAAGAGGGGGCATTTTTTTTTTTTTAATGTTTTGTGTGTTACCTCTATTTATTAAATATCATGTTCTTTGCACTTAAATCATAAAATTCAATTTAACAGCAATACCGCAAAATATATTAAAACGAGAACATCTTTCGAATTTCCAATACACAGTCTCGCGCGCTGGAGGTAAAAATGTTTCTCCCCCCTTTTTTCCCTCCCCTGTAACGAGTTGCCATTGCTTGCTTTAAAATGGATGAGTTTGTTAAAGTTTTACAAAATGTGAAATAGATAATAAATCAAATTCAAAACTCCAAATTTGGGCTTCCAGATGCCCATGTTGAGTGAAGTTATTCGAGTTATTCAAAGTTTGAGCTGGTACTGTTGTTTTGTCACAATGCGACAAACATGCATATATTCATTCAGATTCTTCCTTAGTTAATTTCTTTAAATATAATGCAGGGGTCTAATATATGGCGGCAACAATTTGATAAGTGAAACGCCATTTATACTGAACCAACTCAAAATGCCAAAACGAAATTAATCGCCCTTCTGGGCAATTTGCCTCTTTGGGTTAATATTAAATTAAATAAATTACTTGGCAGTGAATGAACTATCTGCATATTTAACAACTACCTTATTAAATTAATTTAAATAAGAATAATTTAAATTGCTACATGACTTAGAAAATAAAATTAATTTCACTGAAATCATCAAAGTTGACATGCTCTTTACATTATTCCTTCCCACCCCCCCAAAAAAATTAATATTTTTGTTACATTTATTGACTTAAATGAATTTCGAAATTAGAGTTAAAAACAATCACTCAAAATTATTTTACTGTGTTTCTTTCCCTTTTTTGTGCAATATTTACATAATACATAGCAAATCTCAAAATGAAATACCCCAACTTATTTATTTATTTATTTTTGTAAATACTTATTTTTTTTTACACATTATGCTTTCAAATGCTTGGTTGGTCTGAAACGAAAGGACTTTTTCTTCTTTAGTGACATTAAGCTTGAGAGCTAGAGGGAAAGTGGGACCGGATACGCAGGGCTAATTCAAAACTGTAAAAGAACAAAAGCTTTGCTACTTGAAAGTGTCACCTAACCGTCGAAGTATTTTCCCACCGCATGTTTGGTGAGGAAGAATGGCTTTTCCTGATTACTTCTAAACTGAGAGTCGTAGACTTTCCATTCTTTTTTAATCACATGAATGTTTTTGTGAAGCTGGAAAGCATTATTTTAAAAGTTTAAGTCTTACCTATTGAAAATTAACTAGTTCCCCCCCCCCAAGTATGAAGCGGGAGGGTGCTCGGGCGCCCAGGGCACCCCCCTGGCTACGTGCCTGGAAAGTTTTGTAATTTATTACTAAGAAAACTAAACACATATGATAAACTGAAAAATAAAGAAATAAAAAACCACTATGGTAAGATTTAACATTTTAATGGAGAATTCTAAAGGTACACTGCATTTAGAAATTTTGAGATTTTGATATTGAATTTTATGTAGCATAAGTGTGAGGAAAAGGATGTTTAATGGTAAAGTTCAAGAGATTAAAAAAATTATGTAAGGTATCTTGTTATGGAAACTGAATATTAATATGATGAACTCGGAAAAGACTGAAATAGAAAAATGTGTGGAAACACTTAATACTCTATCGGAAGTTTTAGAGATAGGCTGCTTTAAAAACACTTGCAGTTTTACTGTTGAATTTTATGTGGTGTAAGTGCAAAGAACATGATCTTTAATAATGAAGTTAAAAAAAAAAATTAAAAAGTTGTGCTATCATGAGTGAATCCAAAAGCAGTCTGATAAACTGTAAGCTCAGCTAGAACAAAAAGTACTCTGGTGCAAAGTTAAAATTATAAAAAATAAGCCTTTCAGATTTTCTTTTTTATACATAATATGGTCAGCACGTTACATAATTTCTTAAGCAGTTAAGTTAGCAAATTATCAAAAAGGAGTTTGAAATCTGGTAAGAGGAAAAAAAGAGCATGAAGAAAATAACTGTGGTATTAGAGCACCATAGGAAAACTAGTGACATTGTTTAGGTACCATTAAATGTAAACCTAGCAAATCATAGCTTTACAGTATATATTAAACAGCTATTCAGTCAAATTTTTTCAAACATTTGGTAGTTTGATTTAAGGAATTAATTTAACATGGTAAAAATAAATAAAACATTAACTATAAGAAGTTAACAAGTTCTCATCAAAACTCAAAGTTGGCTTTATTACCATGCAAATTAAAACTGCATTCTGCTACAGTTGCTATCTTAGCACTTGGCTGAAGGCCAAGTAAAAAAAAAAAAAAAAAAAAAAAAACTGCTGTAGCGAATAAATTAATTGGTTCTTGCTAGGATAAATTTATCTTTAAACATAAAATAAGATATTTTGAATATTTTCTATTACATGTGCAAATGTAACAATAAATGCTTTTTCTATAGATGGAATACTCATGAGCACTCGGTAGAACTAAATGTTTTACCAACAGGTAGAATATTTATAACAGTATTAGTAAATTAAAAAGGTTCCTTTTTGATTAGAACTTTTAAAATAAATTAAGAGTTTTTTTTCCTTTGTTTGCTTATTGCAGAAATGACACAACTGTAAAAAATGCAAGTTAAAGAATTTTAACTTCATATTTTTTATGCTCTGTGCACCTTCATATTTAAGAAAGTTTCACACTTAAATTTCTTGCTTATAATATGATAAATTCATGTGAAATTTTATAATCAAATGCTCTATGCAATTAATTGAATTTAGTATATTCCTCCACATGCATATCAGAAGGCAGTAACTTTTTCAGACTAGTGAACGAAAGCAAATAAATGAAATAAAATAATTCCCAATTCTAAATGAAAGGAAATAATATTCACAATATTTACTTTTTGTTCATTATATGCACCAAATTTTAAAAATTTTTCTCAAATTTTCATTTTTTTAAAATTTAAATGTTATTTTTACAGGTATTTTTAAGTTGATCATTAATAACTCATTAATGTTTTATTTAAAGTGCATTTTGTAGAGAAAATACAGCACAAAACTAAACTGAAGTGGTATATTAAAGATATATTAAAGATCATAAGATCTTTAATATATCTTTTAGATCATGACAGCGAATTACTCGGAATGTTAAAATATTAACAATTTAAATTCGAAACACAATTTTTAAATAACATTCTGCAGCAAATTTAACGTTTGAGTCATGAGTATAACTAAAATAAGGTGCTTCAAACATTATATTACACTAGTTATCTAAGTTAAGGAAAAATCACAAAAATAGCGATAACTCCCTAAAAAATAAGCCAAACCGTGTAAAATTTAAATATGTTGCCAAGTAAGAGTAGCTGAGTAAAACTGTGATATGCAAATTAGTGATGCTGCTTTCGGAATATGTCATCTGGGAGGAGCATAAAAGTCCATGTTTGAGAGCAAGCCCACATATTTCACTGTGACAGTGACATCAGAAATCTGAGATAGCCAATTCATATCAATGACCTCCAGGCATCATTTGCCTGCAGAACTGCAATGGAGAGTCATTGGGAGACTAGAGGCAGGACAAAGTCAAACAGAAGTGGCCAGATGGCTAAATACGAGTCCTTCTGTGTTTCATAGACTTTAGAGGCAATTTCACACCACAGATTCGGCATCTAGGAGGTTTAGCGAAGGACAGCCAACTGCTACATAGAGCGCTGATGACTGATATTTGACATTACGTGCATGCAGGAATAGAACCGCCACTCCAACTCTTCTTAGATCCTCCCTTGCTGCAGCCACCAGAAGGTTCGTGTCAGCGTCAACTGTGCGTAGAAGGCTTCACGAAGGTGGTCTGTATGTGAGGTGACCAGCCATTTCTGTGCGGCTTACATCATGCCATAGAAGGGACCGTTTTCAGTGGGCACGACAACATGTCCACTGGATGCCTGATCATTGGAGCGCAGTTTTCTTTAGGGATGAGTCCAAGATTAATCTAGAAAGCGATAGTAGGTGTTATTTGATGTGGAGAGAATTTAGAACCCATTATCATCCGTCAAACATCCGTGAAAGAGATGCGTACGGAAGGGGCAGTGTCTGTGTTTGGAGTGGCATCTCTTTGGGTGGATGCACAGACCTCCATGTCTTTCCAAGGGGAACCGTGAATGCTCAGATTTATAGAGATGACATCCTTGATGTTTATGTGCAGCCAATATGCCAGGGCAATAGGTGATGCTTTCTTGTTAAAGGACAACAACGCAAAACCACAAAGGGCTCGCATCGTAGATGATTATCTTCAACAGGAAACAATTATGTGAAACTCAGTTTATACTGAGTAAGTTTAAATACTATGGTTTCTAAGCTGCCATTTATGATGAATCCTAGTAAGATTTAGTATTACAGAGAAGAATGCTTTCGCTGTTGAAAAGTTTTAACAACGCTACTACTTGGGTATTACCCTTAGACCTGGTTTTTAGAACTATGTTTAAGAAATAGCAATTTTCAGTGCTATAATACACGCAAATTAGGACTGTGAATTGTAAGAGGCTGCAGGCTAGCTGTATTTTTTGATTTTGCAAGTTAGTAAAACCTTTATTTCTTGAGCTGTACATTAAGTTCATTCACAAATTGTAATTATGTTAAGTAATTAGTTACTTTTTAGTTGTTTATAAGTTCTTTATCCTAGTGCAGATAATTACTCATTTAGACGCTGTAATAGCTAAGATAGCCTTTAGGTTATCTGGCAAGCAATGAATTTATGTTAAGGGTAACAATGCCAAATGATCATTATATATTTTAATTAAGAATTTTATATAAGCAAATAATTTAATTACTTTAATTTTACACATTTATGAAAAATTCAAAAGGATAATTCAATAATAACCGACATATTATATAGTTTTTATTATTAGACTTGCAAATTTTTTTTCAACATAGTGTCAACATGCACTTCTTCAAAATAAATATACTCTTTCTAAATAGTTTATTAAATAGAAATATTTCTAGTGGATGGTTCTGTTATTTAAATATTAGTAAACCATTTTTTACTATAATGCCTATTGTTTCATTCAATTATACAGTATGAATCAAAAATAAAAATATTAATTCCATTGGCAAAAAGAAAAATATAAAAGCACTGAATTACCAGACTGTACATCGCTTTCATTTAATGCATCATCATTCTCCATAACTGTATAATTTAAAGTTTTTGTTTCAGCTGAAATGAAAAAGATGTTTGATATAGAAAATACTAATTTTAACCTTAAATTCCTTTAAAATTAAAATAAATTTTACATAATTTATACTTGTTTTGACCCCAAAGTTAATATGTTAAGACTTTTCAACACAATGAAAACATAGACTCAAATAAAACTTAATATATCTAAAACATTATTTTGAAAATAAAGATATAATTAAATTAGCAAAGTTATGTGTTATTGATTAGAATAAAACATAAATAATATGAGGATGAAATCTAAGAAAACTTGTATTCAGATTTTACTTCTTGCTTCTTTCTATGTATAAAGCACATACTTTTAACTTTCCTGTACATCATCTGAGCTTTTGAGTCAATTAAAATAATAAACAAAGTAGAAAGACCATTCCAAACATCATTATGATTGTTTAAAAATGCCATTTATGAAAATAATTAAAAACTATATACAGTCAAAAGTCTTTAATCCAAGACTTTTGACTGCATTAAGCACTCAAAGCTACAAACTTTCTGCGCATGCGCAAATGCATAATAGCTTTATGCATGAGCATATGCGTTTTATGAATGCGCATAATACGTTTATGCATGCGCGTTTAATGTATAATGGACAGTGTAAGCTAAGCTAAAATTATCTAATTATCTATTTCAGTTAATGTTGCAGATTGTGTTGTTCCTTAATCTTCAAATTGGATCCGGCTTATTATTTTTTGCAGACTGTTAGAGCAATTTTTATAAAAGTAAGCTTGAATTTTCGATTATGTCAAATAGAATTTCCCATTCTGTAGCTGCCAAAGGATCTACAAAGCGAAAGCATGTTTCGATGTCCATTAAACAAAAAGTGGAATTGCTGCAAAAAATGCATAAAGACATGAAGAAAGTGACAGAGAGGTGATTTGTTTCTCTAACCACTCCGAAATCTGTTTATCAATTTCACGCTGCTCTGCGGGGGGGGGGGGGGACCTCACGGCACGCAATGAACTGGAAGTTGATCTGTCAGCAGTATCCCTATCTTCAGGGGAGATGTTTTTATTTTATTCGGCTTATAATTCCTACTAAATGTAGTGCTTCATCTCGATGTACTCTGATATGATTTAAATCAATTTCCTCGTCATTATAAATATCACGAATAAGCATAAAATAGTTTTCTGGTTGCAATTTTCTAATTTTCACTATGCGTAATGTATGCTTTACGCATGCGCGTGTTGAAAGAAATGTTTAATAGAGTAAACAAATGAATATTAAGCTTTTTTTTGTAAATTTTGATACCCTTTAGATCACAATTGCTCTTTATTTCATAAATTGCAATTTCATATTTTTAATTGTATAATTTTTGCATGCCATCTTACTAGATTTAAACTGATAATCTATAATCCGGAAAAATCGATAATCCGGAATCGCCGAAGTCCCGACAAGTCCAGATTAAAGACTTTTGACTGTATCTTTTATAATGATAAAAATTTTTATAAATAAAATCATGAGCAAAATACAGTTATCTGGCAATTTAAAATTTTATACACATTCTAACTTTAAAAGTATATGAATATAGTATGAATTTATGTTATCATTTACAAGATAACAGACATGTTATTAAATGAGGAATAAGCAGTATATCCAAAATGAGTATGGAATGTTAAATGGCAATGCTAATTTTAATGCAAAGAGTAAATTAAATGCTGCACTAGTTTGGAATATAAAATTGGTAATTTACTTAAACAGTATTTTTCAAAAATGAAACTTGACATTTATAATGATTTTTTTTTTTTTTTATATATATTCTAAATGAAGTGGACATAAAGAAGTTATTATTGAATAGTTAAACAATTAAGTAGGTGTTCAAAGACTGCCTTGTTATTAAAAAAATGATAAATAAATAATTCCAACTGTTTCTACCTCTCCAATAAATAAATAATATAACATATTTTTAATTGGCTGTATGAAAGGAAAAAATACTATAAAAGTGCAAGAATCAGATATAAACAAAGTTCTAACAGGTCCCTTTCAATATAAAAAAGAAAGAGCACATTAGCAAACTACATATACAGTCCAAAGTCGTTAATTCGGACACCCATAATCCGGACCTCAAAGCTACAAACTTTCTGCGCGTGCGTCGTGTTGACGCATGCGTGTAAGACCTTTACGGCTGTGAATTTGCGTGTGCGCGAGCGCAAAATACGTTTACGAATGCGCGTTTAATGTATAACGAACAGTATAAGCTAAGTTAAAATTATCTAATTATCTATTTCAGTTAATGTTGCAGATTGTGTAGTTCCTTAATCTTCGAATTGGATCCGGCTTATTATTTTTTGCAGACTGTTAGAGCAATTTTAGAAAAGTAAGCTTGAACTTTCGATTATGTCAAATAGAATTTCTGATATATATTTACTAATATGTAAAGGATCTACAAAGCGAAAGTATGTTTCGGAGTCCATTAAACAAAAAGTGGAATTGCTGCAAAAAATGGATAAAGGCATATCCTTTGTTTATCTAAACTTTAACGTTTGTTTATCTAAACTTTGTTTATCTTTAACACTGCAGCAGTGCGCAATGAATTGGAAGTTGATCTGTCAGCACTACCCTTAACTTCAGGGCAGATGTTTTTATTTTATTTGGCTTATAATTGCTTACTAAATGTAGTATTTCATTTCGATGTACTCCGTCTTTGATATGATTTAAATCTAATTCCTCGTCATTATAATTCACTTCCGATAGCGAAGAAAGTGACAGAGGTTATTGAAAACGAAAAAATTTCGAATGACAAATTAGTCGGTATTCTCGACACAGCAATTATAGGACTTGAACAGCGGAACTGAACAAGAAATTATGTCTGTTTATAGAATTAAAGAGAATGTATTATCACATAAAAAACAAACCAACTTAAACAACTTACATTGAAAGAAATGTTTAATAAAGTAAACAAATATATATTGAGCTTTTTTTTTTTTTGTAAATTTTGATATACTTTAGATCATAATTGTTCTTTATTTCGTAAATTACGGTTTCATATTTTTAATTTTATAATTTTTGCATGCCATTTTACCAGATTTAAACTGATGATCTATAATCCGGAAAAATCGATAATCCGGAATCGCCGAAGTCCAGACGAGTCCGGATTAATGACTTTTGACTGTATATTATTACATGCAATATTATACACTTTGTTCAATATAAAACAAGAAGAGATATCTAACTGAAGCACAATTAATAATAAGTGTATTAACTTATTACAAAATTTTTTAGTAATTAACTTGGAATTATACAATTTAAGTTACTAATTATATCATTATAAAATGTGCATACAGTTAATAGTAATTTCATGCTAACATTGAAAATATACAATAAATTATAAACCAGATTTTATCATAATAGCATAAACAAAAATTTCTAAGAATATAAATTTTTAGATTTTTGTAAGAAACAAATTTCTTACGGCAATGAAATTCAACTGGACAACACTTCTTTTCATGATAAACGGGTACACATCCAGCATCTATCTTTGATTTATACCTTTCAAACAAGCAGTCTTGTTTGTGGCAATGTAATTCATTATCACCATTATCGTTTAAGACACAGTCACATATCAGGCAAGGATCATACGATGGATATACTCTAGCTCCCAAAGGATAAAATACACCATTGTATTCACATATTCCTGGGGAGGAAAAAAAAGTAAAAATTCAGAACTGATACATTATACTTTAAAAACAGTATAAAATCAAACTGCAATAATTGATAAAGGCAAAAAAAAAAAAAATTATTATTTTGGGAAAATAAAAATATGACAGAAAAACAGCTTTTAAAGTAAAAATGACATTTTGGAGAGGCTCTACAAGGTGCACCCATAAAATAACTGGACTTTATGGGCACATGATAAAGTTCAAACCAATTAAAAGACAAAATAATAAACCAATTAAATGAGTATACCAATTGAAAGACAAAATCATACTTCTTTTTAAAGACAGTTTAAATAATTATTTCGTCATTTGCATAGCAAAATGCCAAAGTAGTCATTTTCATTTAACGAGAAAACATTGTATAAAAAAATTTGCTTCGAGAAAGTTTGTGATTCGAATAGTAAATGGTGATGCACTATTATGAGTGGTACAACTCTTTTAAATGTGAGCATGAAAGCATTGAAGGTGGCTCAGAGAACACACATTTGAACATTGCTGAACACACACTTTGTTTTTGCTGCCATTATGAGACTCAAATCACAACTACCCAATTACTACCAACTTTTAGCTACCAGCTAAAAATCCTAAATAATATTTCTAATAATTCCATAATGACACAAACTGCCCCAATGTGTCTTTGGCATCTAAAAGCAAGTAATAAAAATAAATTCCCTAACAAATTAAATTGAAATGCAAAATTATCCAGAAAGTTCATATAAAGATAAAATCCTAAAAAAAATGTGCACAAAATATTCAAAAATGATATTTCAGAAGCCTATCAGTATCAATGTAAAAATTCTTTAAAAACATGGTACTGTTAAAACCCATCTTACAGTTGGCTTATTGAAAAATGTATGCCAACCATGAATAAAAAGGAAATAACTAAAAACTGCCTTACTGAATTAACTTTAGTTCTAAACTGTTTTTGACTGAAATTCTAAGTTCTTCAACAGCAATATCAAAGAGGGGGGGGGAATCATTGTTCTGCTTGTGGCATTTTAGTGTTTAAATTTAGTTTGCTTCGGCTCCAAAACTAATGATAATTTAAACTGCAAGTAAAAAGAAAGTAATCCAACATAACATATTTAAAAAGTGATTCAAAATGTTTATGCAGATGCTTTGTTAACTTCCATTTCCAGTACGAAGAAAATAGGGTCATCGATCTTCGTGTAAAGATTTGTTATATATTTAAGTTACTTTATTGGCTGGACTGAATTAAATCACATTTTTTTTTCAGAGGTGTAAGAAAGAAATATATACTAATTCAGAAGTCAAACAACAAAAATCAGCATTATATTTACAAAATTTTCACAGGACTAGTTTCGATGGTTTTACCGAACCACCATCTTTAGCTGCAAAACCGCAAATGAACCAGAAAGGAAATAATGATTAGATAAGATAAGAAAGCCTGGACAAGAATAAGCAAGTGGCGCCATCTGTTGGTGAAACCAGAACTAAAACATAATTTCTTTAAAGGCCGAAGGCAAATTTGGATTGGAATTAGGATCGTTAACTAGAACAGAAAGATTTTTATGAATGTGAAATGCCTCTAGAAAATCCAGTTCTCCAATGGAAGATCTTTTTTGAATAATTTTGGTAGCAGAAAAACTGAAAGTGTGGTTTTCAGACCAACAATGTTGAGCAACAGAAGACTTCTGTGTTTCCTTTTACTAACATATGCCTCATGTTCCTTGACGCGAAATTTTATGTTATGTTTTATTTTATGTTATGGCATATGTTAGAAAAAAGGATGAACTAATGAAGAATTGTGTATTAAGTATAGAGTATGTTAAAGGAATGCTGGTTTAGAAACAGAAGTCTATTTTTAGACTTGTACAATTGTTTCTTTCCTTCTCATATAAGATAAACTTAAGACTTCCATCTTATTTGGTGGGGGAGGGGGATGAAATTTTTCTTGCAGATTTTTTTTTTCTCTTTTTAGTATACAGGATTGTTTAGTCCATTTTGTAAAGGCTAGTTACCTTATGTAAGGAACAGAGACCTCTAGAAGTAAGTGTCGAGCATCTCTTTAACCACTAGTAAATTTACAACAGTTAATGTAGATATGCCCAATGAGATGGATATATTTTGTATATATATGAGATGATACATAAAATTCCTTCTATTTGAAGGAAACTGTGAGGAATTTCAGTTTTGTGTAAAGTAAGAAATTATAAATGCTTTCATAAAAGTGGAAAAACAATTTCATTAATATCATATTTATGATGATAAAATATGTTACAAATGTGAAAAACCAGTGTGTTATAAAATCTGAGATTTGCTATAATTAATCAAAATAAATAATAGGTATACAATTTTTATCTCTGTGATTTCTGTGCAAAATTTTGGAAAAACCTTTCTTAAAGGATCATAATCATCATGTGAACTTTCCATAAACAAGGAATTTTTAAAGAGTTGGACTGAACTATTGATAATTAATGGGACTCCAAAATATTACTTTTAAAAAACAAGAACTTTTTGAAATTAGATGTATAATAACAGGACTCTAAAAATTATATTTGTTCTGAAAACTATAGTGATCAAAATTTATGTTTTATATTATTTAAAAATTTAGTACAAAATTTAATGTTTTATATTATGCACATTACAGTTATCTTTGTGAGAGTAATTTTTATAAGGAATCATAATGGGACTGAAAGTTTGCTGAGTGATGAAAAAGAAAGCACTACATTTCTTCAGAAAAAAGCATTTGTAAAATTAAGAATACCAAATACTTGCATCCCATGAAGTAATACATTGTCAACAATCGAATTTTATGGATTGAAAATATTGCACTGATGCAAAATTTGTACAGTTCTCTGTTTTTTTTTTTTTTAAAGTGAAAACAGATCACTGTGAACATGGGGACAGCAACAGTGAAAAAAATATATATACAGTCAAAAGTCGTTAATTCGGACACCCATAATCCGGAATGATCTATAATCTTGACCTCAAAATTACAAACTTTCTGCGCATGCGTCGCACAGGCGTTTAAGAGTGTGCGTAAGACCTTTACGGCTGCGAATATGTTTGTGCGCATGCGCGCTTAATGTGTAACGGAGGTATAAGCTAAGCTAAAATTATCTAATTCAGTTAATGTTGCAGATTGCATTGTTCCTTAATCTTCAAATTGGATCCGGCTTATTATTTTTTGCAGACTGTTAGAGCAATTTCATAAAAGTAAGCTTGAACTTTCGATTATGTCAAATAGAATTTCTGATATATATTTACTAATATGTAATTTGTATCTACAAAGCGAAAATCCGAAATCTGTTTATCAATTTCTCGCTGCGGATTGGAAGTTGATCTGTCAGCACTATCCTTATCTTCAGGGCAGATGTTTTTATTTTATTTGGCTTATAATTCCTTACTAAGGGTAGTATTTCATCTCGATGTACTCCGTCTTTGATATGATTTAAATCAAGTTCCTCGTCATTATAATTCGCTTCCGATAGTGAAGAAAGTGACCCAGAGGTTATGGAAAACGAAAACATTTCGATTGACAAATTAGTCGGTATTCTCAACACAGCAATTATAGGACTTGAACAGCGGAACTTTGTAACTAAACAAGAAATTATATCTGTTTAATAGAATTAAAGAGAAAATATTATCACATGAAATGAAGCAACTTACATTGAAAGAAATGTTTAATAAAGTAAACAAATAAATATTAAGCTTTTTCTTTTGTAAATTTTGATACCCTTTAGATCATAATTGTTCTTTATTTCATAAATACGGTTTCATATTTTTTTAATTTTGTAATTTCTGCATGCCATCTTACCAGATTTAAACTGATGATCTATAATCCGGAAAAATCGATAATCCGGAGTCGCCGAAGTCCCGACGAGTCCGGATTAACGACCTTTGACTGTATATACAAGGATTTCTTGACAAAGCTAGGTGTTTTAGAATTTTTTAAAAAAAATATATTGGATCATTGCTCTTTTCCGAATTCTTAGAGCAATGCTAGTTTTGAAATGGCTGTTGCCTTTAGCATATTGGCCTGGGAAAAAATTAATCACCAATGAGTTGCTGATTTTTTGATAAAAAGGATTAGACTATTAGAAAGTATCGAAAATTGTTTATGCTTCTTTTATGGATATATTGAAGTTTTTTTGGAATATTCATAATTAAATATCTCTCCCTCCCCCTCGAATTGTAAAAGTTTGAATATTTCTGCCACATCTCGAGGAGCATAAACCACAGTACTTTAAAACTCGCTACTCCTATAACGAATAAAAAGTTCTTGTTCTTCCACATCTTTTGAAAGCCAGACTTGACTCTAAGAGTTCACCTAAGCATGTAGTAAATTGTTTCTGTGTCTCTCACACTTCAAGGCACAATGCATTATTTTAATACTTTACTCCTGTTAGCCCACCAAAACATCACTGATCTTGAGAACACCTTAGGTGATAATCTACACAAATCGGCACCTTAGGCAGCTGGGCATGGCCATGCATAGAATTCTGCCAGAAATATAGCTTAGGGTAAGGATGGCGCATGCAGCAGGTACTTTGGTTGCATGCCACAAGTAAACATTAAATTGCTTTCATTCACTTAGATTCACTGAAAGCAACATTTAAAAAAAAAATTTCCTCCATCAAAAACAGATTCGGAAATGAGCACAAGCATAGGTGCCATTATGACATTTTCCAGCACAGAAAGGTGACTATTGCCCCTTCTACCATGAAATACCTGTAGGGAAGACTGACTGAAGAAGTACATCGTATGTGAGTGAGATGAGTTATAAATAGAGAACCCAATAACTTAATTGAAAATTATGACATAGTTTCAGTTTTGGTTTCTTATATTTGAATATGAAGGTGGTATGCAACAAAACTGTGTTTCGAGTTACAGCAGAGTGATTTTTTTGCGAATGAGAGCACCTATGAACACTAGCGTCTCCTTTACTGATTCAGACAATTTTACTTTCTAAATATAACAATCTGAAAAATGACAAGATAAAAGGTTTCTACAC